GTGCTGGATGGTGGGTGTGTGAGTGCTGGTTGATGGGTGTGTGAGTGCTGGATGATGGGTGTGTGAGTGCTGGATGATGGGTGTGTGTGTGAGTGCTGGATGATGGGTGTGTGTGTGAGTGCTGGATGATGTGTGTGTGAGTGCTGGATGATGTGTGTGTGTGAGTGCTGGATGATGTGTGTGTGTGAGTGCTGGATGATGTGGGGGAGCATTTTTTTCTTACTTTATGTGTATGTATATTTTTTTATTTTATTCCCCCCTCCCTGCTTCTTACCTTGTCAGGGAGGGGGGAGATCGCCTGGTGGTCCGGTGGTATTGTGGAGGGAGCCAGCCGCTGCACACAGGAGCCATGGCACGCTGTGTTCCCTCTCCAGCTCTAACTCACGCGAGACTCGCCTGTGCGGAGCGTTGCCATGGTAACAGCCGCGGGTCTCGCGAGAGTTATAGCTGGAGAGGGAACACAGCGTGTGATGGACCCTCAGTGCAGGGAGCAGGGCCGGTCCTGCAGGACAGGTAACGGGAACGGCGTTCCTGCTTTGGAAAAAGTGCAGGAACGCCGTTCCCATGCGTTCCTGCAGGACTCGAGCCCTGTTTCCTGTGTTCCCTGTATCCAGAGGCCTTTCCTGCTTTCCATGTATCCAGTCATTTTCTGTGTTCCCTGTATCCAGAGGCCTTTCCTGCTTTCCCTGTATCCAGAGTCATTTCCTGCTTTCCCTGTATCCAGAGTCATTTCCTGTGTTCCCTGTATCCAGAGGCCTTTCCTGCTTTCCCTGTATCCAGAGACATTTCCTGTGTTCCCTGTATCCAAAAGCCTTTCCTGCATTCCCTGTATCCAGAGGCCTGTTCTGTGTTCCCTATATCCAAAGGCCTTTCTTGCTTTCCCTGTATCCAGAGACTTTTGCCTGCGTCCCCTGTATCCAGAGGCCCTTCTGCTACATTCAGTTATCTGTTTGTATTTTATTTAACTTTCTTCCTTAAATATCAATATACTTATTTTTTGCCTTTATTTGTGTGTATATTGGTTTCTTTGCATTCTGGGTTCCACCCTATAGAGGTTGCTGTAACTGGTCAGCACCCCTTCCTGACCAGACCCCTGACAAGGTCTCTTGCTCTCTACATACTGGGCTGGCAGATATCAACATTCTGCCTACTCCTACTCTTAGACAGATATTACATCCTCTGCTAAAACATCTCTCAACATCATCTTTACAACTATACTTTGGTTCAAGATGTCAAAGGTATTTTAGCTCTCTGCTAACAAGTACACAGACTCTATAGCATCCACTTCCAGTAAGAGAGACAATACATTGTGTAAAAATGATTGAAAACTATGAGGCAGTCATTGATTTTATTCATAGACCAATAGAGAAAAAAAGGGCAAGTAGTAAATATATATATTTGTATATTGATGTATTATGTATTTAATGCATATATAACATACAGATATAGATTTTTTTGATTTTTTTTTACTGCTTCTTTTTTGTCCCTCGTTTGACTACTTTTTCTCAATCAATGATGGTAAAATCAGTTTACTGCGAAACAGATACTCAACACTTTATAAATATATATTGCACTACACATATTGGCCCATTTTCACAACCCTTTTGGTTCATCTGATTTGGTTCCTGAACCAGTTTTTCGGTACTGAAATTCTTGCCGTGTACAAGTCTAGTATTTACATCAGAATTGAAATTGTTATACTTGCTAGTTAAAAATTATGCAAACAAAATAGAACTCGTACAACTAATTCTTTCCTGGAAAGTACATTCTGGCTGAAACAAGGAATCGTGAATATGACATGAAACCATTGACATGATAGCCACAACAGTCTATAGGCACTGTCCCCTAGATTTTTGTCGTCATTTTGGGGGTCTCCCATGGCACCTATAGCCCATCCACTCTGTAGATACAGAGTTTGAGTTTCCTGGCACTATAGTTTCCCTTTAATGGAGGAGCTGAGTGGTGCCTGGAGAATCACAGGTAAGTTGGCAAACTGTTGCAAACGCTTTGGTTACCTACATTGTTGAGTACCAGGGTACTTCTGGCACCATAACCACTACAGCATGCTATAATTATCATGGTGCTAGGAATGGTCCTGATGTTGGGAGTGGTTGAAAAGAAGACTATGTTGATCCAAAAGGCAGCATAATTTTATTTTTTATTTTTTTTAAATGGGTTTACACATCATAAAACCAATTTCTGCTGAGTTGGACATTTTTTTAACTTGGTTATTTCTGCTTAACCTTTGCAATCTACTTTCAGCTCACTGTAGGTCACAATTTAGTGAATAAGCCCTTAGGAACCATCCATAGCAAAGAGAAATGTTTAATTATACGCAAACAAAGTAACATAACAGTGATGTACACTCTGACCTGTGTAAGTGTGATACAGCTTTAACACCCGTATATTCCATCAAGATATTTTTAAAACTGAATTTGTACAGCATTGAGAATTCCTCTTATGTAAAACATTTCTTTTTGGATTTTTGACAGTTCGGGAAAATGCAGTGTGTGTTAAAATGCAGATGACTTTGCACTCCATGTATTGTTATATTTTACATATTAATTAGAAGCAAAGGTGCAACGCAAATATCAGTCTGAGACTAGAGGGTAAGAAAGCTAATTTCAGCTCCTTGAAAAGAAATTGAAAGTGTCAAGAAATAGCTTTGTATAATTAAGTAATACATTCATCCAATGAAATATGAAGTCGAACAGAGTATATTATCTTAAAAAGAGTTCAATTAGCAATAGGATGCAACTATTTACTTAATTGTTTAACTGAATACCTTTTACATTTGTTAAAAGCGGCAACCATAAACCTTGGTTTTAATGAAAATTATTTGCAACTTACTCTGACAATACGAACAATTACACAGTGTTCCGAATATTTACATAAGGGGCATTCAACCTGGGCCCTCCATTTGTTTTTGGTATACAATGTCAATCAACTTAACCTGTTGAGGTCAGATTCCCCATATTTAAATTAAATGTAATAAATGTAGGTTTATGCTATTTTTTTTTTTTTTTTTGCTAGGTTTCACTGTGTATATGAATATACAAGACTTTTTTAGCTTGTAAAAGAACAAATAATAAAAAAAGACAAATCAAAAAGTTTGCAACCAATGAAGGTGAGGAATATCAAATCAAAGAATTTATTACATGTCACTCAAAAAATTTAATTTATATCATACAATGCCCTTGCGGTTTAAATTACATAGGAAAAACTACCAGACCCTTACATATAAGAATAGAGGAACATGGCCGTAATATAAGTAAAGGATTAGAGAAACATAGTGTGTCTCTACATTATAAAAACCATCATGACTGCGAATTAAAAGGAACTATATTTTTAGGAATTAAGAAAGTAACTAAAGATTGGAGGGGAGGAGATTTCAATCAAAAATTAAGTAAGATAGAGATGGAATGGATATTCAAACTAAATAGTCTGATTCCAAATGGTCTAAATGCAGACTTCGAAATGTGCCATTTCCTCCTCTAAACTTTAAAATAAGGGTTTTTAAAAAATAAAGGTTTAAATAAAGGTTTAATCTATTGTACACTGAACTAAGATTCTATACTAAAAATAGAAATAAAACGTCTTTCAGATAGATATATATTCCACATTCTATATAATAATTGGTTTTTATTCAACCCCAGTCTGTACAATGTTTTTTATATTGATTTTATATCAATTTCAACCATGGTAACTTTTTTCTATTTTTTACTCTTTAATTTACAATTCTCTACAATAATAGATACTTTTTAGCTCTCACCCTTGAAGTTTTATTCCTCTGCAATGACTAATGTATGATTATTGTATTGCCTTACTAATGTCTAATGTAAGACTACATTAGTAATTACAAAAGATATATAAAGTCAAATATTACCCACAAATAATTCTTTGTATAAGGAGAATAGCAAATTGTCCATACAATATGAATTGAATGTGAACAGAATGTACCAATCTAGAAGTATAACAACTGTTTACATGTCCTTTAAATTTATTTTTAACACCTATAACGGAGAGAAACCAGACCGGAGTGCAATAACCACAGTGGAACGCACTGTGGAACGCATGGCTATGAAAACTGCCGAAACCGGAAGTGACGTATCGGCCGAGAAAGAGGAAACAGAGACCAGAATGAGGCTTGGAACGCAGGGTATCTCCGTTACCATGGAGAATACCCGCGAAAATCCAAGCATTAACAGCTGTTTCTACAAACGAAGAAGGGTATTTAAAGCAGGAGAAGAGGTCCAGGAGAATATCACAGAATTTAACCAGCTGAAGAAGCCACCTGGCGAAACGCGTTCTGGAAAGCGAAGTGAGCACTGAAAAACTTCATTTTGGACTTTATTGGACTTTATTTCAGCCATATAAGTGTTTTATTTTTTCTACATATATATATATATATTTTTATAATGTGTTACAATTTTATAGTCAATAAATGAGATATATTTTTTAATACACTTATGGCTTTTTCCTGCTAATTGAAAGAAGGAGTGTGGTCCTTAAACCACATATGCGCATTGAAGTGAGCCTATAGACTGGCTCTGGGTTTGTGAGTACCAAATTTACTATTTTAAAATTCTCATAATAATACCAACTATACTACACTATATACCCCCTCCTGTATCCATATAGGACTAGATCAAAGAAAGGAGAAGAAGGGAGAGGGTCGCCTATACGGATCCTAAAGCACCTAATTCTGAGCTAGATTTATAGCTCAGAAAATTGTGAGTTGCCACTTGGCCCTTACTTTAAAATTATTTCCACCTATTTACATACAATCTGCACTATGTTATGTATTTTTTCCATTTTTTACATTAAGGTTAACAAAGAATAACTGATTAACATAGAAGAAAAATTGGGTAAACTTTTTTATTCAATTCTGCACATAAGCGCTACACCGTTACTACCTACTACTTTCTATCACTCTTGTTTAAAAGATTCTCACGGTGGTTAGCAGCTGCTTGGATTATATATAAATTTTAAGATACTATACTCAAATAGCGCTGATACTTTCCTGTTTTATTTTGAATATACAAGACTGGTCAAAAAGGTTCTAGGTTTCTGCTGGGACGTTGATTGCACATAATGTTACCCTCACTCTACTTTGATGTGAGGTGATTTTAAGGACACTCCAAGCAGCTTAACCATTACAAGCATTCTAGTGACTGTGACCTGTATACAGGTTTTAGGGTAACTTGTAGGACCAGATTAAAGTGACACTATAGTCACCATAAACAGTTTTAGCTTAATAAAGTAGTTTTCCCGTTTAGATTGTGCCTTGCTGTCTCACTGCTCAATTCTCTGCCATTTAGGAGTTAAATTTATTTGTTTATGCAGCCCTAGCCACACCTCCTTGCATGTGACGTACACAGTCTTCCTAAACACTTCCTGTAAAGAGTCATGTAATGTTTATACTTCCTTTATTTCAAATTTTGTTTATTTTAGAATGTATTGCTCTGCTCTGTTAATAGTTTGCTAGACCCTGCAGGATATGTAATTCAAGTTCAGTTCACAGAGCAGGAGATGAAAATGTTTAAAGTAAGTTAAATCTAATTGAAAATGAAACCATTTTGTTTTCATGCAAGCTGTGTGAGTCACAGCCAGGGGAGGTATGGCTAGGGCTGCATAAACAGAAACAAAAGTGATTTAACTCCTAAACTCCTTTAACTATCTATGTAACAATGCTGATATTTAATGCTATTCCTAACTCTATCTAACCTTAAAGGGATATGCATCACTTAACATTTTTTAAACCTGCAAGCAAACACTTTAAAACAAATATAAATACCAAAATAATAAGAAAACCTTACATACTGAAAAGTATGTAATAAACAATTATAAACTTACTATAAGCTTACACATACATACAGACAGACATACATACTGACAAACAGACATACATACAAACTGACATATAGACATACATACACATAAATACATACTGACATACATACATAATGGCATGCATACACATACATACTGATATACATACATACAGACATACACACACACACAGATATATATATACATACACAGATACACACAGACATACTGTCATACACACACACAGACATATGTGGCAACGCTCTGACCCCGCGGCTCTCGCGAGACTTACAGTGGAGCTGACAGGGGAGCTGACCGGACCGGAGGAGAGAGAAGGGAGCTGACAGGAGCTGCAGGAAAGGTAAGTTACAGCTCGCTGCCAGCCCCCAACAGGACCACTGGGCTTGTAATGAGCCCGGCGGTCCTGGCCTGTATTATGGCAATGTAAGTTGCCATAATACAGACAGTGACTCGAGGATAAGATGAGTGGTGGTTTTTCAGCACAAAAAATGTGCTGAAAACCTCGACTTATACTTGAGTATATACAGTATTTGAGTACTAACAATCAAATCAACCTTGCCATTTCCATCATTTTGATGTTGATGGACAACATGAAAAGTGTGGCCATAGTGAATTAAGCATTCATGTACTGCACAACTGCTCATTATTAAGGACTACCTACAGTATTTTAAGGGAGGTACAGCTGGTACAGTTCAGTGGATATTTGTTGAGAAAGAGAATGGAGTAGAACTCCGCAAGAGTATTCTAGATCTGCACTATTTGAATCCAGGGGATATTTTAAGAGGATCTACCATGCAGTAGCTTCCAATAATTATAAATGATTAATTAAGAGCTGGATATGTTTGAAATAAAGCCTCTTTTGTTTAATAGTAAAGTCTTGGCTTCTTTGTCTTGTAAACATATGTTCATGGATGTGTGAGAATACAGAGGTGATACAGGGCTATCGGAATTCTTTCCTCTAATTCTTTCCTCCAACAAAGGTTACACAGATTAGACATTCACATTTATGTTGCAAGTTTGTAGGTTTCTCTGAGCCTCTTCTGGAACATGGATTAATGTGATATCCAGTACCTCTATTCAGCTACGTAGAGAACCCACAGCACCTAGACACTGAATGCCACCACACACACACACACACTAGTAAGACAGGCAACAAAAAAAAGAAAAATCAATATTCAATGTATTAAATGCAGTTAAGATCTGATACAAAAACAAGCAATAATAACAGTTTCCCTGTTATGTCTGGACAAATGCTGCAGCTGACACTGTCTGAAATAAATGTCTATATGCAGTAAGAATAAGGCAGTGTACAATAACAAGACATAACAGTAATGCAATTAGAAAACTAGCAAATAGTTTCACACTCTCCTGGATACCTTCTTACAAATTCACCTACAACCCTCTTTAAAGTTCTTTTTTCAGTACCGCATGTTAGGGCTCTTGGTAAGCCGCAGGTAGTACTGCCAGTTCAGCATACAGTGTTGTAATACAGATGTCGACTACTTGAATTCTTCTGCAGGAATGTCTGGAAAAAGCTTGGTCCATCCTGGCTTGTCGTTTGGATCTCCACCACTGCTGCTCCCAACGTAGTTGTGCAAAGGCTGACAAACTAGACACAGAACACACAAACAAACAAAAACATTGTAATCTAACTAGATTCGCACTCGAGAGGCTGGGAAACGCCAGCTTTTTATGCTGCTGGGGTATTTTAATTACAATGTTCAGAGTTTACATATGAGGTGACACTTCTTCCAGTCACTGGAGTGCTAAAACTGCTTCAATGACTTCTTGATAGAGAAAAGAGAGAGCAGCTTCTTAATGTGATACCCAGCTGGATGTGTACAGCAAGTAATACCATGCATGTTGTCTAGTTAGCTTCTGTCAGGGTGAAAGATTTCTCTTCATATCTTAAAGTGTTAGGAATACAAAACTGTTCTGCTAAAATTATAGTGTGCACTTGTCTCTAACTTTAGGTCCACCCCCCTCCCGTGAGTGAAAATGTAAGGGTTGCAAACCCATTTTTCACTCATCTTAATTCCAGTGTGGATTTCCCTCCGCACTAGCTTGGTTTCCTCTTCCAGTGACGTCACAGATGGAGGACCTAATGTGCATTCATGGCAAGAGCAATGAGATGAAGGTCTGCCTTCCCACTCAGAGGATGTCATTGGGCAGGTCGGCTCCTCACATAGATTATTGTACATCTCAAGGAAGTTGTAGCGGAGTGGAAGTATAAACTGCAATATCTCCGCTGGTAGATGTAATCAGCATACAAATAAAGGGTAGCGTAGTAATTCCAATCCCATTCCCCAACAACTGGACGAAACACAGTTTTGGGAGTCAACTGAACTTTTATTGAACCACAGCCGGCTTTATACAAATCCCCATGCAAGGGGTTTCCTTAATGACATTCCAGATGTCTTTCCCTGGTGGACCTTGTGGAAGATGGGAACAAAGTTACATTTCCCATGATCCTTTTCTGTACTGGGAAGGTAATTGCATAAGAACACTTCTTTAATTAAATTATCTCCCAGTACAGAACATTAAACAATATTTTAAAAATATCATAACTCTTATAATATTTCTCAGAACTCCACTTCACTGAATAGCTGGGATCTGAGTGCTCAATCTGTTGAATTACCGCTCAGATCCATTCAGTAAATTAGTTCCAGGCAATTGGAGGCTTTGACCGGTCTCCTTTTGGGAGTTCCTATGAGTAAAACAGACAAATGTACATATTCATAAACTGGATAGTCGTGTGTCTGGAGGTTGGTGGTTTCATTTAGTCGAACGCTGCTCTGTTTGGACGAACAGAAGTACATGAACAGACGAGATGGAAGTCCAGCAGTGTTCGCGAGGCAGTGTCCGATTTTAGTTCCAGGCCCTTGATGACCAAACATCGCTGGGCGTTTTTTGTGCTAAGATGCCTGCCACCACTTGTTCGCTCATACGAACGGCGACCAACCCATCCAACCCTTATGATCTTGCGGTTTCAACATGTTGCCAATTCTTAATTAGAGACACACGACTCCACTATGTGGTCTCCAATTCGGTATTTTGTTCGACTTCACGAACAATATGTCCATGGTCTGTTCGTGAAGTCAAAATAGATGAATCAACTTAGTCTGTTACACAAGAAGTGGCTAGTTCTGCCACAGAAGTGTACCCTAAGCAAAGGGAAGCTGAATATGCTCTTACATTGGCATAATACAAGGTATGGCAAAGGCCAGAGTTCTGCAGCCAAAAAAGCATAGATTTACACAAGTAATAGGTTACACTTGGAATTCACAATTGCCAGGATTTACTAGGAGGTGTAGATTAATTGTATACGACTCTTAGGGTCTATTATGGAGAAGTGCTACACACTCCATCACCCATCCTATACACTTAAATGAGAATATGGCCTGTTTGTATTTTTGCTAAAAGTGTAAATAACTTACATATAATTTTATACTTAACATAAAAACTGTTAGATATTGCAT